AAAAAGGGGGGGGGGGTGTGCTGCTCTCATTCCATACCACTATATATATATTCTCTACAATTGTGAAATTAGAGTGAAAGTCTTTCTAAAAAGTACCTAATTACCTATAAAAGCAATAAGTTGGTCATTTTCACTTATGGTTCTTTGGGTTGACTTTTAATGACATTTTGATCATGGTCATATGCTTAGATTCTAAACTAGTGTCTTAATTTGAGCAAGATGAGATTCTGGATTCTAAGTTATAATAATTTTGACGAGGATGCCTTCAAGATTTGGGTGCTCTCCCATCCTTAAGTTTCTATCCTTAGTGTCCAATAGCATGGAAGGACCACTTTCTAACCAAGGTATGTGTATTTTTTATTTCTCAAATTCATGCTGCATAAGTTAATTTTTTAGCTCCATTTGAGTGTTAAGAAGACTTAAAATAGTTGGAAAAATGAAGTCTTACTGCTAGCAATTTGTGCAAAATTATAGTTCTTTGTCAAATATATCTTTCTGGATCTATTACTGCGCCATCAATGGCATCATTGTCTTAAAATTTTTTTATACATTCATTTTCATTTGAAATTGAGCTACTAATTGAGGTGCCCATAGAATAATCGTTCACGCACATCAAATTATATTTATCTCTATTTTCTTTATCTCAATCTAATTAACGAGTCTCTTCACTTGGGTTACAGAATTGACTTATAATCTTAGCATTTGGAGGTCCTCCTCCTCAGAGGAAATCTGCTCAATGGAACACTACCAATGGAAGGCAAGAATTTTGTTATTTAAATTGTCTTAGGATCACCTACAATCTTGATTGTATTTTGTTGAGTTCTCTTGCTCTATTTTACCTTTATCAATATGTTTTGGTAGGTTTGACATCCTTCCGCCATCTTCAGATCTTAGATTTGAGTGAAATAATTTCTTTGCAAGTATTCCCCATCCATAGGAGCATTATCTTCTCTTGAAAGCTCTATCTCTGGCTTAAAATAATCTTAGTGGTTCTTTACAATTCAAGGTAAAAATTCTATTCGTTAAGGTTATCTATTTATAAACTAAAAGGGCAACAAATATGAAAATTCAAAAGGCCAACAAAAATTCTATTGCTTCTTTCTGTTTTTATTTATTTATTTATTTGCTTCTTGCAATATAAATAAACTAGAATTGAAGAAAACTATGAACTAGCATCATCTTTATGTTTTCAAGAGTTAGCTGGTGTTTGATAAAATTGAAAGTTGAAAACTAAAAGTTGAGGAAAATTCTAATATTCACTCCTTTAAAAAATGTGTATCATATGAACCCTATTATGCTATTTTTTTCTTTAGTTATGTTATTTCTTTCTTTAGTTATGAACAATTTTCTTCACATGCCAAGTTTTTTCCCCTTTAAATCCACATATATGTGTTTCTCAGTGTTTTTATGTATATATTTTTGTTTGAAGGGTTATTGAGAGTATGGTGTTTTGAAATTGCTGTAGTTCCCTCAACTTTATGGGAGTCCTAGAAGAGAATGGTATTGACTTGGCTGAAATGAAGATTTTGAGGGGGAAATGGAGGAGCTTGGGATTGATCAGCATATCTGTAAACCATGGCAGTACAACCACTTAAGTTGCCCAATGGTATGCTTTGTTTGTTTCCAAAATTTGTTCCTAGAAGCTATATTGTGTTTGTATCTGAAACCTATGTAATATATGCTGCTTACACTTTATGTAGTTGTGTTTATTTGATTGTTTGAATGACAATCTTGTTATATATTAGGAATTATTTAAGTAGTATTTAACCAATTAGTTAAAGTACATTAAACATGGGTGTGTTTAATAATTTTTGTTTTTATTAAACCTGAAGAGAAGTGGGGTTTAGATCATTCTTTTTTTCTTCCAGTATAAATGTTTATTTATGTTTTGCTTTTCTTTTTACTGTCGTGCAAAGGTGGGAATTCAGAGGGGAAGAGCTTATTCATTTTCATCACTAAAATGGGTCAATTGTCCATATTTCTTTTATTTATTTTATTTATGAGTTAACGATGATCGGATTATTATTTATGGTTAGGTTTTACATCTGATTTGAATTCATCATTGCTTGATTGTAATTAGTCGACGGATTTATGTAGTCTTTGAAATCATCTTTGGATTTGTTAATTGCTGCATATGAATAAATAGATCAATGCTTGTTTCTGTTTTAGCTACATTCGCTTTCATGTTATTTTGTGTGGACAAAACAAAACTTGGAAGCATAGAACATAGAAATCTGTAGATGTATCTGCGTATTTTTTTGCCTAAACAGTGTATCTTCTTTAACATCAATTGCTTTGTTAGTTCGCAATCTTTATTTTCTTTCTTATCTTGGAAGGATCCTTCTATGTGTTAGAAGCTGTGTGTAAATTGATATTTTCTTCCTCTTTTTTGTGGATAAGATTTACTTTTGTCACTGTACAGGGCTTCTGATGTTGTATGTTTTTTTTTTTATGGTTCAGTTTAGTAATTTATTTTGGTTGTTTCCCTGTATTTGTTGTCTTTGTTTGTTTTTTTGTATTGGGATGTGATTTGTATGATAGGGAAACAATTCCCTGTTTAAATAGTTTTGTGCTTCATAGGTTATACTGGAGGAGCTTAATGCTATGTTTCTTCTTTCTTTGTTGTGTAACTCTTACATAATAAGCTTCTAATTTTATTGTCTGATTATTGATTATAGGAAAGTCATTCT